TTGTCCAAAATATACAAGAAACTGTAAAAAATAAACTAAAAAACCGAAACCGAAACTGAACTTTTAGAGTTTCGAGTAAAAGTGCCGCAATGTGGGTGTATCCTTTTGCTAGTAAACTAAAATATTTGTTATTTGTTGGCATGTTTCAGATTGTCCCATATCCGTTAAGAAAATTTTACTCTGTATAAGTTTTGTTTTCTGTCCTGATGCATCAGACGATGTAAGGTAGGGAGAGCGTATGGCATTCTTTCTCATTTGAACATTTGCCCCTACTAGCAGAAACTGTTCCTTATCAGTGCCTTTAGGGCTTAGTCCGTACAGCAGATTTTCTTTTATTGTCATTATTTATTTTTTTATAATGCAAACACCTTGACCTCGAAGACTTTTTGCTACTTACTTTCGTTTCATTCTACTGGTTTTTGTTTTCTTGGTTTGTCTTTGTTTCCATTCTTTTGCACTTTTAAGTACTCCCACTATTTTTCTCGGTGAGTTTCCCTTTGACTTTGGTTAAATTTTATTACATTTTCTGCTCGAAAATCCTTACAAACTATGTAACGTTACAGGCGCTTACATTAGGACCTTATGGCACCATTTTATTCTCCGACATTGTTTTCGAATTTTGCTGTACTTACCCTATTGTTCTTTGTATGTTCCACTGATTGTGAATGGCTTTTTCGTGATGGTTTTATTTTTTTATTATCATTTTTTTTTCTGTTTTGCCTGGAACAGTTCGTGTACTGCAATTACCAAGCTTCCTGCGAAATCGTAACGTTTTGCCCAAAACACTTCTCAACTTTGTTGTATTTTATTGCGATTTATTTTGGCATATTGTGCCTTTGTCGCGCTTTTTAATACCTGCGCAAATAAAAATAAAAAGACAAATAAAACCTTTTATTTTGTTTTTGTCGAGTACATAAATTATAAAAGGTCTGCAGAGGTGAAAAACACCTATCCAGACCTTTTGTTCTGCAATTTTATTTGTCGCTAAATCAGCACAATTTAACATAAATTTTATTCGAGAGCCGAAATGCACTGACAGTGAAAAATGCGCCACGCCGTATATTTTGCATAAATAATTTTAAGTGGACCACTGAAACACGCACTTTTGAGCAATGCAATTGTCTTTTAAAAAATTGTATTATCAATTTTTAAAATTAATGTATTTTTGAATAAAATATTGCTCAAAAAAAACTCCAAGTTTAACTATGGCTCAATAATGATTTATTCATCATACGCAGTGGTGTACGCAGGCGAGAAACGGTAGCGCAAAAGATTTTATTAAGACTTTTCTTTTGTAAGCATGTCGCAAAAGAACATATAATATAAACACTACTTACGATGGCAACTCTGGATAAAATGGAGATTTAGTTAGGCTTACATATGCAAAACACTTATTATAATTTAAAGTTAAAATTTCGTAAATGAATAATAATTCTTTGCAATTATTGGTAAGCATTCATATGTAACTCTTTACATGATTGTGAATAAAATATGAATTTTCTTGCCTTTTAACAGTAAAATAATAAATAAAAAGAAGTATTTGCTACAAATAATGACGATAGAAAATACGAATAATTAACGAAATCATTCGTTGACAGTTAACTCGAAATTTTGTACGTACTTCCAAAAATCGTTCACAATAGATGAATTTTTAGTATTGACAAACATACGATTTGAGCTGCTTATTAGTCACGCGATTTTAAAAAGGTGGAAGTAAATAAGCCAGCAGTGTTGTTGTTTCATATGCAATTTTCAAAATAATCAATTGTTCTTTTGTAATATACTTACAAAAGAAAAGGCCTTCTTTTACAACAAAAATATGCAATCTGATTCTTAATATACGATTAGTATTTTTCTTCAGCTATCTCTTCAAATTGGTGTCATGGTGTCATTAATTGGCAAAAATGGTAGAAATGATAAAAAATAAAGTTATAAAAATTAACGTAATATGATTTATGTATTGTCTAGCTAGATCCGTAGTTAGAAATTTATTTCAGACAGGTTTTCAAATAATTCCATTAAAAAATATTAATCTTATGCATCAGTTATGATATATAAAGAATACACAAATTAAAAACAACTGTACATATGTGTAAATATAGTTCTTCAATTTATTTCAGGAGACGCTTCAGTTACATGGGTCTCTCCTGCCCCTTACTAAGAACAGATCTGGATGTAATGCATATACATGTAAATGTATATTTAAATGTATAATTTTTTTTTAAATATAAACGTAACAATGTTAACACTAGAATTAGTAATAAGCAAACTTACAGTAGTAAGCCTTTGATGCCGTAACCAACTCTTAGGATTTAATTTCGTGTTACTTTATTATATCTAATATAGGTAAGATATTAGAATAATGAAAATAGTTCAAGAACGTCAGTATACAAGTGATGCAGACTTCATTAAGAAACTTACAATGGTAGGCTAAATGATTTTGGTTAGAATAGGGTCTCTAAAGCATAGACATATTCAAGAAAGATCCTCTAAAAGTATACCACAAAAAATGATGTCAGTTTATTTCATATTGAAGAGGTCACGTGAGGGTTATAGTATTCTCTGAATGTGATAGGTTTGTGGCGAGAACATTTCCATTGCCTGGCAGTAATTAAAACCCGGTTTGAGTGACTCGTTTCTTGCTCGTTAGTTTTTATGAACGAAATTTCTATAAATGTGGCTCTCATTTTATTCCTTTATATTAATCATATTAAACTTCTTTAAAAATCTGTTCACACAACAAATCTTAATTATGTCTGAATTTTGCTTTGCAAAGTTTACATCCAGGAACTAAATAATAAAGGTTTAATGATTCTATTATAGATTAGAAGATAATCAATAGAAGAAGGTAATAATTATGATAAATCAAGTGGTTTTGAAATTAAACTTAAGATTTTTTTTTAATTTCTTAATGAAACTTTCGTTTTCATTCCATTTCAATTCATTCACAATAGTAAGATAAGTTAAAAAGAGTAATAAATGAATCAATGCTTTTATTACAAACTTTAAATAATTAGTTATTAACTTATTTAAATAAATAATGAATTATAATAGAACTCAATACTACTTCTATTAATAATTAATTAAATTTAAAAAACACTGTAGGGTAAATTAAAGAATATTTTATGGGTCTAACATAATTTCAATAGTAATTTTGTTTATTCAGTTAACTGTGCTTATAACTTATTCACACATCAAATCTTAATTTAATTCTAATTTTTATTTTATTTTATTTTTTAGTTGCTTATATAATGAACAGCCGTTCATTTCTATATTGGTTTATTTTTCTGTATTTTAGGACAATTATTCACAATAACTGGCTCGTCATAGTACTATTGTGAATTGTGCATTCAGTTTGACATTATTTATTATAACGCAGAACTACAAGTTTTTGTTGTCGGATTTTTAAAAAAGTTTGGATCGTTTTATTAACTTGATTTTTGGAAGAAGTGCATCCAACGAACCGAAAAGACAATTACTATCAAAATTATAATTATAAGGAAATTTTTGTTTGGTTTCTTATATCTTTCACAAAGGAAAGTAAGTACTATCCAATCATAATCAAACAATTTTTTTAATTAAAAAAGAAAACGTTTCGGATAATCTTTGGTGCTTATATCTGCCCGATTTAAGTATATTAAAATTCCATTTAAACATATTAAAAAATTTGATCAAACTTTTCCGGCTGCAGACTACAAAATTGCTTTTAAAAACACTTATTAGCAATATAATTAAAATATATTGCTAGAGTTTGATATTTAAAAAATTTTAAAATTTTTGTTTTAAAATAGAAATTAGCTTTTAAAGAGAGGTGAGTTTTGATGACTTTTTTTTTCTTAAAAAAATTCAGTTCAATGCAAAACAATAGAATAAAATTATATTTATAGTATTTGTATAGGTCAAAATCTTCACTAATGACGTCATCAGCATTACAGGTCTATTAAATACAAATTATACACTAAATCTTACTAAAGTCTAATCGCTAAAATAAATATATAACTTGATTCATCTGCTCTGTAAGCAAATGTGCACAATACCAATAATATCGGTTTACCTATATTCACAATAATGTTTGGATTGGGCGTCTAAATATTCCTAACTCTCCTAAATTATGCACTTTTTCACCAACGATATAAGTTACTTTAGTATTTTGTCCTTGTGCTTGTAGTATATATTTTATATAGCTTCTAGAAAGAATATAAACGAAATGGCTGATAAACCATATCAAAATAAGGCAAAAAGGGGAAAATATGATGAAAAACCAAAAAAAGGACGTACTCATTTGACTGGTCCTCCTTTAACCAAGGAATTTAAGGAACAAGAGGACCGTAATCTTCTTGAATTACTGACAAAGCGGAAAATAGAGAACTCAGTAAAACTTTCAGTTCAAAATGGAAGTAAGTATATTTTTAATGATATCAAAAGTCAAATTTTTTTATAATAATTATCATTTATTTTATTCCTCAGGTTTTGACTCAACTTGTTATGTTGTTTTCGCAGCAAATTATTTTGCAAAAAGCATAAAAGGCGATGTTTTTATACCAGCCGAAATATCTCTAGCTGAGTTTTCCCTAAAAACTGGTCTTTTGAAAACTTATCACTCGCTAGTTAATCCAAGTATGTAACAACATTTAACATTTATAAAATATAGATAATTATATTAATATCATTAACAATAAGCTTCATGTATTTATTTAAATTTTTCGGTATATTGTAGAGGTTTTACCATACGGTAATAAGTATGATGCTCAAGTACATTGCAGCAATACACATAAGCTTCCGCTTCCCCCAAATGCCTTGGGTGAAGAAAATTTGTCAAAACTATATGTCGCTATAATGAATTTTGCGAAGAACGAAGCTACTGGTGAATATCGGCCACTTTATGTTAAGGAAGACAGCTTGTATATAGCAAAAGCTATACTGGCGTATATGAAAAATGATTTTAATGACAGCCACATAACTCTTGAAGTGTATCCCATTCAGCACTTATTTCATATTATGAAGGAATCGGCATGCAAAATAGGTGAATTATCATTGCCAAGTTCCCTCAGCATCCAATCAGTTTTCTATAGAGATAATTATGCATATCACGTTGGTTTGTCATGTGAGGTAAGCAAATATGTTTATTATACTATATTTTTCATTAAATGAATGCAGACAATTTTTACTATCTGCGACTTTACTTAACTTCTTAATTTTTTTAATTATTTATTTCATAACAATAAATTTTGTCTATTATTTTTAGTACCACGAGAATATAGACAGGTCTAACTATTGCGCAAAGTCAATTGCCAGTAGAATGTGTTTCAAGTTTACCGAATATATGGCTCCAGATGTCGCAATTAAAATTATAAAAGGGAGACATATACCCCATGACGTAGCACCTAGTTTTGAAGTAATAGAACCTAGGCCATTTAAACCAACACGCAAACAGGACAAGATTTTTAAGAAGGAGAAGGATGAAGAGGATTAAATGGACTGCAAGTGAATGTTGACTTCCACATTATTATCTTCATACATTAGAGACTTTATTCAGTGCCACACAAGTTTTTTTGTTGTGTGCTTTAATTGTACACAATTTGCTATCTTACTATTTTTGTATTACACGATTTTTATTTCACAAGTAAACTATATCGAGACTAATTCATTTAATCTTTTAATGAAAGAATTGTTCATTTTAATCATAAACAAAACCATTGTTATCTCAAATAAGCGTTTGTTCAATAAAATATATCACTTTTATACAGAATATAGAGCAAAAACAAGGTTCTTTCATATGGCACAATCCTCAATGAATATTTACAGTTTCTGCCTATATTGGCAGGTCAATTTTTGTCATTCTTCTCTAGGTAATTTTGAATTTTCCCATTTTCCTAAAGCCCTACATATTCCATTGCATTTCACCTTGGTTTCTTAAATTATAAATTTTTTTCTAGTTTGAAGTTTGGAAACATAATAATACTACAGAAGTACTAAAGTATTTGTTGGACATTTACAAAAATGCTCAAGTGGAAAAAAACATTCTAATCTTTCAATGCCCGTTTTTCAAAAATGAGAGACAACAGTGACGGACAGCCTCAACTCATATATAAGTAGTAATGCATGTTGCAGTCATCTCCAAAGTCTTTTTTTGCTGGAATGAGAAGTCATTTAGCTTTACGTTGGTCTATGTGATTAAAGCAATAGCCTTTTGTTTTTTTCCATCTACTGATAACCTCATCCAATGGTTTTTTGCGAATCCACAGAACGACTAAGGACAATTAAGATTACATATGTTCTTCTCTCAGCTAAATAATCATCCATTTTAATTATCATACTTAAGACAAAATTTTGTCTGATATTCGTTAACGTGTGTAGGAACCAATAAGGAATTTAATAAGTTTCTAATAATAATGAATCAGTTTTCTTTCGGTTTAATTGCATCATGCGTAAATTGAATGAAGAAAATAAAGAGAGGACTCTATATAGACAAATAAAAATATTGCATATTACTAAAAAAAAGTCGCGTATATATATAAGCATAAATAAAGAGACAATCAAGGGCCATGTGATTTGAAGATGCCATACAAAGTGAGCAGACTCGTAAAAGATTAAGGTTGGATAAAAGAAGAATAGGAAAAAAGAAGAAGGAATGTGTCGGAACACTTCAACTTATTTAAGTGATACCGCAATTCGAAATGATCTGTAAAGTAACCGAATAACGCTGCCATGCTTAGCGAAAGTATCTTATCTAATATTCTTTTCGCTGGAATGAATAAACCAGCGGTCTATAGTTTCCACTGCTCATCTCCTTAAAATCTGATTTGAGTGGTATTGCTTGAGTCCACAAAAAGTTTAGCACAAAAATTATAGCATATATTTGCCTCTCTTGGCAACCTATCAGCCAATTACTTACTTGTCCTTCCTCTATGAGTATATTTTATTATTTATGTTGAAGCTCTTTGAGCCAGTGCACTTGAGCACTTTTACTCTTTTTTAACTCGAGGTATTTTCAAAACCACTCTTTACGTCTTGACTGGATTATTGTTTATCACTTCATCAGACTAGACTAAGCAATAATTGACCTCAGATCTGCATACCTCCCCGAGGAGCCTGTAACCATTCTGAGATTTGATAACGCGGTGTTGGTAAGTCTGTCAGTTTTCACAAATAATTTCAGGGCTCTATCCTTTATGTATTTTTTGATGGCATCAATCCTAAGATCCCTGAGGATAACATTCGTCCTAATGTACCACGGTACTTTGAAAATTCTTCTCAGTAGTATATTTTTTTGTTAGATATATTTATTAAGTATTTATAAAATTAAATTATAATTTGTTGAGGCTCATTAATTAACCTTTAAGTAACTAAGAACTTATTTTCATAATTTAATAATTAATCATTTATGTTATTAAATTTGTAAAACATTTTGCTTGTTGTAAGAATATTAATGTTCGCGTTAGTGTATTATTTGTAACTGATTTGCTTAATAATTAAATTAATTAATATTGTAAGGCATTTAACATAATCCTTCGGACGAAAGGAAAAAGTCAGTGTTGAAAAATTAGTAACTTAACAACTCTAATCGCATTTAAGTAAGAGAAGCGAGATAATGAAGTAGAGAGAAAATTCCTCACCTGCAAGTTGAAATGGAAGAAAAGTTGATTAAAAATGCCAAAGCTGAGTTAACAAGAAAATGAGAGGTTAGAAGTCTTACCAAAATGGATTTGCTCTTAAACGAAAAAGGCACATAAAATAAATTAAAAAATATACACACTGAAGTGCAGAACTGAAACAATTAAATCCTTTGGGTAAGTCCAGAGTGAAAATGATTGGAAAGGTAACAATCAACAGAGAAAGTTCTTATGTAGGGCAAATGCTAAGGGCTAAAACTGCGTTCAAATGATTAATAAAACCTAAACAAGCTTAAACTCGAATTGTAAAATTAAAAAATTGTCACTAAGGATTTTTTTTTGTACGAACTTTAAGAAATAACTTTTATAAACAATTTTAATTTAAAAGACTTACAGAACAAAAAAACATGGAATACAGATATAATGGGACGAATTTGTGTAAAGAATTAAAGGCAATATCCGCATAATTCTGCGTTCATTGTTTGAGCCTCATTTTTTCCCGTACGCAACGCACAGATTAAAATATTCTATTATGGCTACGCTATATTGTGCGACAAAATGATTAATGGCCTAGAAAGGGCAAATTAAGCATTAATAACACAAAATACGTACACCCATAATAGACTTGTTGTTTTTTTTCCTTTGGTTTTTGTTATGGAAAACAAAGAATTCCATTTCGTCCATCTTAATTCTGCATTCAATGCCATGAATGCCATGACAAGCACGGCAGCCATGTTGTTCACTATGAGAATTAAGAGGTCGGTCCCGCTCGGTGTGAGCAAGGAAAAGGTTTTCCTGGCATGAGTTATTTGTACTCTGCATTGTGCCCTTCACCTCTAAGACTTAAATTGATTTAAGGTTTTATGTAATCTTAGGTATCTTGTATTCATTATTAATTTATCTGAATTTATGTCTACAGGAATTAACATATTCAATCCAACGAATTCATCCCGTAAAGTTTCGTACTGAATGCATTTAAAATTAAGTTCAAAATTGCTTTATTAAAAGTTGTAGTACATTTCAACACTATAGTACTCACTTCAATATAATCTATTCTATTATGCAGAAGTATTCTAAACTTTGTGCTCTTATCTAGTTGAGTTTTTATTTTGTTAAATTTACTCGCATATAGCACCGACAGAGAGTTTCGCTTGCTACAGTTGTTGTCGGAAATGAAATATTTATGAAGTAAAACTGAAGTATCTAATACCAAACCAGAATTGCAGCAGACAATTTGTGTGCATAAAATTTAACTTTATATATTATATTTACAATTTTATGAAAAAAAATATAAATATAAAGAAGTTGGTTGGGTGGTTGGTTACAGTGGTAGGTAATCAGTTAATTTTCCATGTAACTCAATTAACGATTTTTCGCCGCTTTGCTACCACATTCCGCGCAAGAACGCTAATATAGAAGACTAGAGACTAAATCAATCCTGTCGAAGTTAGATAATTTAATAGGTCACACGTCTTCACCGATGAACAGTCCGATAAACTATCAAAGAAGTATCTTCCTAAAAAACTATTTCTTCTGAATGCCAAAGCCGGGCATTCACAGAAAAAGTGTATTATGGTTTCTTTTTCTTGAGGATTTCCACAACACTATAATAAGGATTATGAGAAATGCACAATTTTTCTGCTTAGGTTCCTATACGCTAATGACCCAAAAGAATTACAATAAGCCTTGTAGCGTTCACGCGGTGTCTTTTGATGAGTTCCAAGAATCTAATTTTAATATAGGTGGGCCATGTTAGCCTGGGAGTTGTGCATGACTTAAGTGCTTTGTATCTGTTATTGGTAAGTTGATGAAAGTAGAAGTAGGTATTTCTCTCAATGGTCTCTAGAGAAATATAAACCGGTACAGCCAGAGACACATTCAAGGAAGCACCAAAGCGAGCCAAACTGTCAGGTTTTTTGTTCCCTTCGATTTTTCTATGACCAGGAACACAGATGCGGGTTATGTCAGCCAACGAAATTTAACTCGTCGATTGTGTCTCTACATTCTTTTACTATCTTTAATTTTGTTGTGAAGGATTCAGGGGACATAATTGCTGTTTGGCTGTCAATGAAAATGGCATAAAGAAAAGTCAGTACATGCATTTTCCATACAGTCATACGTGAAGAAAGTTTTTAATAGAAATCGACCAAAATATTACATTTATTCTGGTAGCTATTTATTCCTTTATTTTAGAAGACTAATACACTATAATTCAGTTAATTCAGATTCATTCAAATATTTAAATTAAATTAATAAGCATTTGTTTTTATTCTCGGAAATGTGATATGGCATATCCGTGTAAATGCTGGGATGCAAAGTATATAAATACGAAGATTTGATTTTTTTATAATTGGTTGTGAATGACGGCAAAACAAAGTGGCTGGCAATTTTACTTGCGAATCTGTACAAGATTATACCTTGACTCTGTCATAATAAATAATAACGATGCCAGCCCGGAGATCAGAAAAAATATTCACCGTTGCAACAGTCTGTCTCATTCGACAGCCAAAACTTACACGCTTTAGGTTGCTCAATCTATATGTATTTCTATCTGGCCCAGAAGCATGAATGCTATCACAGAATAATAAAACCGAGAAAAATGTTCTTCGCAAGGTCTTTGGTCTACAAATTGGTGACAGCGACTATACCCGTTTAAACCACGAGTTATACTTACTTTATTATGACATTGATAAAGTACAGGGAATACACATTCAGCGCTGGCTTGTTGATGTCGTGAGTATGGATGAAGAGACTGTAGTGGGATTTATTACAGGGATTTAAACAGAGGTTGGAAAAACAAGGTGTAGACAAGAAGACCGTGTGTCCGGAGATATAATCAAGTAAAGAAAACACTAACCAATCAAGTTAACATAACATTTGGAGACTGGAGAAAGCACGCACGCAGCAGAGGTGTCTGGAGAGACATAGTTATGATAGTTTGTTTTCGCCATTCAAGTAATTAAAATTATTTCATTTTGTATTTTATAGTTGTATGATTCTTTTCAGAATATTCAAACCATTTGAAACTAATTTTTGTTTAAAAAAATA